AGAGATGCAGGTGAGACATCTAAATTCTATGGAGGAATTCTCAAGAGAGAGATAGAGGAGCCTCACATGTAATTTGCAGACAGGGGGATGGATAAGGGCCCTGTTGTGACAAAGGTTTTTAGAAAGGTTTAGGGTTGGGTTAAGGTACTGTGTCTCTTTCTCCTAAGTGTGTCCCTATCACACACTTGTTTTGGCATGGGGATATTGACAAACATCAAGTGCCCCTGAATTGCCTCCAGATGACTCTATTAGTGGAATAAGTGACTGGATTTCACCCTGATTTCATCTCCCTACAGTCATCATAGACACACCATGTGCTGCATAGCCTTGTTGTGATCAGTGGTGGACCACATATACAATGGTGGTCCCATAAGATATATTGTATTTTTGCTGTACCTTTCCTATATTTAGATATGTTATCTAAATACTTACCATTATGTTATACTTGTCTGTAGTAATGAGGAGATGTAATGTATAACATGCTGTTCAGGTTTGTGGCCTGGGAGCTACAGGTTGTACCCTAAAGCTGAGGTGTATATATGGTTGACTACACCATCTATGTTTGTTTAACATCAGACTATGATGTTTGTGCAATGATGATGTCACCTAATGATGAATTTCTCAGAATGTATGGCATCATTAAGCAGCAAGTAACTGTATTCATTTCCTGGTGGATATCAGTTACTTATACTGTGCCCACTGGAGGGGAGATAGATACAAATATGTGTCTGTTGTTGTGCTTATTCTCAAGTTGTTGATGCTTTAGAGCAGCTGGAATAAAGTTAACTATACAAAGAAAATCCATTGTCATTCTTAACATGGTTGACTTAATTCCCACCTTGAAACACTCTTCGTTTTTGACTTTAGACCCTACTCTCCTGGCCCCCCTACTCCTCTGGATTGGTCTTCTCAGCCCCTTCGCCTGTCCTTTCTCCTCTGGAGACGTGTACATATTGGAGTTCTCAGGGGTCCTGTGTGTATTCCTCTCTCTAGGTGAGCCCATTCACCCCCAGGTCTTTGCACACCGTACACACCTCCCACTTATGAGTCTGGCTGCTTTGACACCTGGCTGCCTACTGTCTCATGGCCATGGACTTAGCATGTTGGAAACTGAACTCATTGTCTTCCTTCCCAAATTCGCTTATGGTACCACCTTACTAATGGCATTACCATCTACTCCCTTGGTTAGGCCAGGGAATTTTATGCTCCCTTGCCCATAGCTTGTCCTTCCTTATGTCCTGTTGATTTGACCAATGTAAGTCTCAGACCTGAGCATTTCTCACCTCTCCTGCCGCTCTACCCCTAGTCAAGTCAGCACCACTGCAGTAATCATATTGACTTCCCTATTTCTGCTCTCCCTTTTTTCAATTCAGATTTGCATAGCTGAAATCCTTCAAAGGCTTCCTATGTATAAAACTCAGGTCTTTCACCTGGCTCCTGGCTATCTCTGCAGCTTCCACCACTATCTCCCTTTCTCAGCTCTGGCTCCACTGACCTTTTTTGATTCTTTAAATACACTGAGCTTTTTCCTGCCTTTGGCCTTCGCATGTGTGATTCCTCTGCTCCCTTGACTTTTCCCTCCACTCTTCACCTGTTTAACTCCTGCTTTTCCTCTAGGCCTCTGTTTAGGTGTCATTTTTTTCACAGAGATTTTCTAGAACCTTTTCCTTCCCTCAGACCTACAGCTGTCATTTCCATTTACCTGCTTGCTTGTTTAGGGTGCATCTTCCCCAGTAGATGGTTACACTACTTTATCTCTAAGGCCTAGTAAAGTGTACGGTTCATAGGAGGCACCTAAACAAGACTGGATAAATCAGTGAGTGAAGATTGGTGATGGTTGTTAGTGGAGTTGAGGTCAGAGGGGAAGATAACATGGGTGCTGGAGTAAGTGGGGGCTCCTGTGAGGGCTGGGGGCTGGGCTTTGAAGAGTGAGCCAGATTTTGGTGGGAGTTGTAGAAGTGGGGAGGAAAGGTCTCTTTCTGTATAATTAGAAGGTAAAATATAGTTGGTGCCGTAGCTCAGTGGTTAGGGAGCTGGCCACATGCACCAGGGCTGGTGGGTTCGTATCAGGCCAGGGCCTGCTAAACAACAATGACAACAGCAATAACAGCAACAACAACAACAAAAAAACAGCTGGGTGTTGTAGCAGGCGCCTGTAGTCCCAGCTACTGGGAGGCTGAGGCAAGAGGATCGCTTAAGCCCAAGAGTCTGAGGTTGCTGTGTGCTGTGATACCATGGCACTCTACTGAGGGCAACAAAGTGAGACTCTGTCTCAAAAAAAATGGTGAAATATAGTTGAAAGATGCTATTCCTTAGCCCATAAGTTGCCGAGAAACTCTTGCCTTGCTTATTACAGGACTTCAGCTTTTGGAGAAGAAAAGGGCAAGTGTCTACAAGTGTGGACTTGTCTTTTCCTCCCCCCAACCCTGTATTATCAGCAGCTTCCATTCCTCTCCTTGTGTGTGTGTAGTGTGTGTGTGTGCATGCACACAACCTCAAGGAGGGCCACCACCCTGCCTGGCCAGGAACCGTGGGTGTTTGAGGTAGATGCTGGGGAGATGGTGCCAAGGGCAGCAGCCATCAGCAGGAATTATGAGTGAGGAGAGGAGCAGGGGAAGGGGGGGAGGGAGAAGCCCAGAGTAGCCTCTGGACAAAAGCTAGCTGCCTTCTGCTCTCTGAGGTCTCTATTGGTTTAGCTTATTGACCTGGCCAGAACCTACCCTCCCTGAGCCCCAGTTTTCCTGGATGAGAATAGGGAAGCCCTGCCCTGAATTTTCCCCCTAGGAGATTCAGGATTGGGTCATTCTGGATGGTCTTCCCTGAGAACCTTTGCTGGCCATCTCCCCAACATGCCGGAGCCCTTGGCATAGTCTAGGTGGGCAGGAGGAACTGGGTCCATTAGACAGAGTGGGAGCCTGGGTGGAAATTCTCTCAGGCAAGGAGCTAGGCTCACCTGTTTGGGGATGGTCTTCCTCTCTGCTCTGATCCTACAAGGAGCTTGAGCTACTCTAATCAGCAGCTTCATCTCATCAGGAGCGTCGCTTGATTTTCTCTGAGACAAGCCCACCCGTCCAGCAAGATAGAGTCCCTCAGGGTGACAGTTGATTTCCTGAAGGTGCCTCTTGGCCTGAAGAAGCCAGTGCTGAAGGAGGTGGCTGTGGGGCCCCCCAAGAGGCCCCAGCCTGCGGCCCTGGAGCGCTACAAGGCGCGGCGTTCAGACGCCATGGACACCGAGTCCCAGTACTCGGGCTATTCCTACAAGTCGGGCCACTCCCGCAGCTCCCGCAAACACAGGTAGGCACGCAGGTGGGGGTGACAGCAGTGGTGGAGGGAGGGTTGGGGGCAGTGGACAGGTGAGCATGTACAGCAGTGGGGGGGGTGGCTGCTGAGATGACCCTGGTCCCCCCGTGACTTTGTACTGTTCCTCTGGATTCCTGCTGCAGGGACCGCCGGGACCGACACCGCTCTAAGAGTCGAGATGGGAGCCGTGGGGACAAGTCGGTGACAATCCAGGCTCCAGGGGAGCCCTTGCTGGACAATGAGTCCACACGAGGGGATGAGCGGGTGAGCATGGGGGAATGAGGTGGTCCAGACCAGGCATCTGTGGATACTCCTTGCAGGAGCTGGAGGCTCTATCAGAGAGGGGAAGGGCCTGGAAACCTGGTCTCTCTGTGAAGAGGCCAGATCAGGGAGGGTATCTTTTGTGGTATACTTCCCTTGGTTTAGTGTCCCAAGATAGGACCTGTTTTAGTAGAATTCAGGGCATTTTGGTAGAAACCCCTTTGGAAGGAGCAGCCCTCCCTCCCTCCCTCCCTTCCTTCCGGACCTGGCTGTGTAATGAGAATTGCCTAGCACTTTGGAGCTGGTCCCTGCCAATCAGGCTGGCTGGTGAGTCTGGAGTAAGAGGGCAGGGGTGGGTGGTGGGTTCAGGGGTGGGGCAAACCCTAGGTTCCCAGGTTTCCTTGAGCCTCAAGGTGTGGCAGCCTGTAGAATAGCACCACCTGGATGCTGGGTGTGCAAGAGCAGGTGGAGGAAGGAGGACAGAGAAGAGAGGCTGAGGGTGGGAAGGGTCCCTGGAAGAAAGTTCTGCAGGATGGGGGTGAGCATTTGCTTCTGCTACAACCTCTGTGTCCCACTGTGCTTACCTGGTGGGGAGGATAGGGGTAGAGGTGGCAGGACACAGTCCTAGAATATGGCAGAGGCAGGATTCGAGATGACACTAAGGTTGCCCAAGTCTCATTCCTCTTATTCTTTCTTCTTGGGATCATCTTATGTGGCTGGAGGCTCCCAGTTCCATTTGTCTCAGAAGAAATCCTTATGGCTGACATTGGAATTCCTGGGTTTGGAAGCAGATCAATACCCAAGGGAAATGTTCTTTCTCCCCCTTTCCCAATCCCTTCATCCTGGTACCTGGCCTCCTGAGTGCTGGTAGTGACCCTGAGACATGGTTGGCTCACCTGTTGTTGGGGGAGTTCCCAAGCCCTTGATCCTTGGAGAGAGTAGGCAGTGCGTGTGGGGTCAGAGATCAAAGCAGTCAGTACATCCACTTCCTATCTTCAGAGAGCAGGCTCTTCTGCCGTCCTTTACTCAGCTCCCTCATCTCTGGTCCTGCCAGGCTGTCTCCTGCTCTCTCCACCCCCAATGTCACAGTCTTATAGCCTGAATCCCCTGGGTGTCAGGATATGACTCTACATCCCCAGGCTGTCCCAAGAGTGAAGGGAGTGGGTGCTGAAGGCCACTTGTGGTCTTGGGACTCCTCTGTGGAATGTTCTTCAGACACCACAGGGAAATAGCTTGAGCCAACCACACTGAGAAGGGCACCTGGAGACCTCAGCCTTTCTGCCAGCTTGGCTCCAGGAACAGGCAGCCGTGGTGCAGTGGGCATTCAGATGGCCTAACAGAGCTGGACTTGCAGACCAGACCAGAGACCCAGAGTGGGCCTGAATCTGCTTTGTGTCCCTCACATTCTTTTCTGATTGTTCTCCCTCCCCTTTCTCTTCTCTGCTTTTGTCAGGTCACTCCCTTAATCAGAAACCATCAGTAGCTCTCCACACCTGGGGAATAGGTGTTTATCATCTAGTTGGGCACTGTGGCGTGGCCCACACGGTCTCTTTTCCTGGCTGTGCCGTGTGGCTCCCCTGCCCTCATAGCTCTCCAGGAGCCTGAGTTCATGCCCTTCCTGCCCTGAATGCACCTACTCTAGCTTCTGCTGAAATTATGGAATGATGTGGGAAGCTAGAGGGAACTTAGGGCAGTACTTCTAGAATTGTAATGTTTGAAGGAGTCAGAGTCAGGAGCAGTACTTCTAGAACTGTAACATTTGAGGGAGTCAGGAGTCATGGGGATCTTGGTTCAGTAAATGTGGGGTGGGCCTGCGGTTCTGCCCTTCTGACAAGCTCCTGGGAGATATCTACGCTACGCTGCTGGTCCACAGATCACATTTTGAGTAGCCAGCCCTAGAGATCATTGAGTTTAGTGACTCTCAGTCTTGGATGACCATTGGAATCACCGGGGAGCTTTCTTTCTTTCTTTTTTTTTTTTTTGTAGAGACAGAGTCTCACTTTATCACCCTTGGAAGAGTGCAGTGGCATCACAGCTCACAGCAACCTCCAACTCCTGGGCTTAAGCAATTCTCTTGCCTCAGCCTTCCGAGTGGCTGGGACTACAGGCGCCCACCACAATGCCTGGCTATTTTTTTGTTGCAGTTTGGCTGGGGATGGGTTTGAACCCATCACCCTCAGTATATGGGGCCGGCGCCCTACTCACTGAACCATAGGTACTGCCCCACTGGGGAGCTTTCTAAAGGAGAAGTTTGACAGGCAGATCCCATTCTCCAATAATAGCTACTATTTTCCAACCTCCCTAGGTAATTCTGATGTGTGCGGCTGAGGCTGGCAACCACTAAGTCAGACCAGTTTCTTCATGTCACTTGCCCCTGAGGGTCAGCTCAGGTCCCACCTGTTCCCTGGAAGCCTGCCTGCCTGCCTACCTGGCGAGTCTGCCTTCAGATCCCAGTCACTGAGCAGTTCCCGTTTGTCTGGTGCTCTCTGCTCTGAGGGTCAGCAATGCACGTGCAGTTTTCCTCTCTCATTGGCCTGTGATCGCTCCCCAAGTGCCTGGGTCTTGAACTTGGGCGCAGCGTGGAGCTCAGTAAATCCTTTGATGGCTACTACTTGTTGATTACCCTGTCTTCTTTCTTCCCGCTCCTTTCCTGTGCATTCTCTCTGTCTTCTCTCCCTTATTTTTCCTCCTGCCCCTCCATCCTTATCTTTTTCCCTTCATCGTGTGGCCCCTGTCCCTGACTGCAGGATGACAACTGGGGGGAAACGACGACAGTAGTAACTGGCACCTCAGAGCACAGCATCTCCCACGATGACCTCACGCGCATTGCCAAGGACATGGAGGACAGCGTCCCGCTGGACTGCTCCCGTCACCTGGGCGTGGCGGCGGGGGCCACTCTGGCGCTGCTCTCTTTCCTTACGCCACTGGCCTTCCTGCTGCTGCCTCCTTTGCTGTGGCGGGAGGAGCTGGAGCCGTGCGGGACAGCCTGCGAGGGCCTCTTCATCTCCGTGGCCTTCAAGCTGCTCATCCTGCTGCTGGGTAGCTGGGCCCTGTTCTTCCGCCGGCCCAAGGCCTCGCTGCCCCGTGTCTTCGTGCTGCGCGCACTGCTCATGGTGCTGGTCTTCCTGCTTGTGGTCTCCTACTGGCTGTTCTACGGCGTGCGCATACTGGACGCCCGCGAGCGGAGCTACCAGGGCGTGGTGCAGTTTGCCGTGTCGCTGGTGGACGCCCTCCTCTTCGTGCACTATCTGGCCGTGGTCCTGCTGGAGCTGCGCCAGCTCCAGCCTCAGTTCACACTCAAGGTCGTGCGCTCCACTGATGGGGCCAGCCGCTTCTACAACGTCGGCCATCTCAGGTGCGGGTATGGGAGTAGGTGGGAGACGCATGGGACAGGGAAGGGCTGGGGGAGGAGGGCAACCCCTGGGGTGAGGAGGCCAACCACTGGTGTGAAGGGTTTGGGGCTTGTGTGGGAAGGAGCTGAGGACCCCCGTGTGCAGTAGGTTTGTAGGAGTGTTCGCTGCCTAGTGGGAGGGCTGTGTACAGGCTCCTGCGGCAAGAAAGGTGGGCTTGTAAGTTGAATTAGATATGGGGACTCTTAGAGAGAGATGAGCCAAAGGGGAGAAGGAGTTGGGATTTCTGTTCTGCGAGATGCAGCTTCCTGTGAGTGCCCAAGTAGTGGTTGTTGGAACAAGCAGGCCAGGTCAGGGACCCTGGAGAAGAGATAAAGAGGAGGGATCTTCCACTTCCACTGTACTTGTGGGTGAGGTCCCTACCCCTGCCCCAGGTCATATAGAGTATCAGTGGCAAGTCCTGGGCCTTACAGACTCTTGGGAGAATGTTGGAGAGGATGAAGTGACCCTTGGTTGGGGTCCCAGGCCCAGTCAACTTAATGCCCTGGGGCTTCAGGGCAGAGAAGGACTAGCAGGCCCAGCCCTGGGGAAGGCTTGGGAGCCTGGTGAGTAGACCTCAGGCCTGAGCCAGGCTTCTCGAAAGCAGCTTGTCCCTGTCCTGCATCCTCTCCTGCCCTGCCAATCTCCCTGATGTGTCCCTTCCACTGGACCCCTTGTCTGTCCCTTTTCCCTGCCTCCCTGCCGTCTCCCCCACAGCATCCAGCGCGTGGCAGTATGGATCCTGGAGAAGTATTACCATGACTTCCCTGTCTACAACCCTGCCCTCCTCAACCTGCCCAAGTCCGTCCTGGCCAAGAAAGTGTCTGGCTTCAAGGTGTACTCCCTCGGAGAGGGTGAGCAGCCCTGCTCTCAGCCCTCAGTCTCCTCCCCAGCAGATCTCCAAGTTGCATCCTCACTCTCTCTCCCCTTCCTCCCTTGCTTTTTCCGTTCCCTGGCCCATGCCCCAGCCCCTCTGTTCTGTCATTTCCCTTGACTCCAGGTGGCTGGTCTTAGCTGCTGATTCTACTTGCTGTCCCTTTATGCTACAGTCTTGATCTGGCTCCTCTGTGTCTGCTCATCAGCCCTGGTCTAAGCCCTTTGGCTCCCTGAGCTGCAGAAGCTCCTCACCCAGGGAGGAGTGTGTGCAGGACTCCTGCCCTCCAGTGCTTTTCTTGTTGCTTCCCTGTGGCCTCTCCCAGAGGTGGCCAGGAGGGTTGGGAATGGGAGGTATAGCCTGGTGGTGGGAATAGCTTCCTCTGGACATGTCAGGCTGCTGTCTCCAGAGCTCCTGGAGTGTGAAGAGAGGCCACACTTTGTTGTGACCATTCCTTCTCTCCTGCTCCTGTACAGAAAACAGCACCAACAACTCCACGGGCCAGTCTCGGGCTGTGATTGCAGCGGCGGCCCGGAGGCGGGACAACAGCCACAACGAGTACTACTACGAGGAGGCTGAGCACGAGCGGAGGGTGCGAAAGAGGAGGGCCAGGTGGGTGCATGAGGGTTGGGGTGAGAGGAGGTGCCTGTGGGGTGAGCTGGGGAGAGGAAGACCAAGGGACTTCTGTAACTGCTGAGAACGCAGAGGAATGATGATAGGGTGGGGTTTTCTTTCCCACTGTAGCAGATTGCCGTGAACTCGGCAGCTATTCCGTGGGCCACGTGCAGGCTAGCTGGATGCTGTGCTCAAGCCCCACAGGTTGAAATTTGAGCCTGGTTTCTCTCTTCCAGGCTCACTATTATTGCCAGAATTCAGTTCCTGGTCATGTGGCCCCATAGGCAGTTTAAAAGATGGCAGTTCACTTTTCTAGCAGGAATAGGTTCTCTGAGAAAACTTTGCTTTTGAAGAGCTCATGTGATTGGATCAGGCCCAACAGGATAATCTTTTAATACCACTGACATGGCACTTTAATTACATCTGACAAATGTCCTAAGATGGTTGAGTAAGGAGGGGATGGGATCCTGGTAGAAGTTGGGGGACATCTTTGAATTCTGCCTATTACAATGGGGTAGGGACCCAACAAAAGGGATGTGGGCATCACCTGCTCCACCTGAGCTAGACTGTACTTCCTACCAATAAATCTGGAAGGCTGGCTCAGCAGGTGCCTACAAACATGGAGTTCTAGTGCCCATGTTTTGGTAAGTTCTTAAATGCTTAAATGTCCTCACTTTTTCCTTTTCCCTGTTCACATTATTATGTGAACTTAAGTCATACCTGAAGAATCCTTCTCGGTGCCTATAGCTGCCAGGTCCCACCTTGGTCTAAAGCAGTAGTTCTCAACCTTCCTAATGCCATGACCTTTCAATATAGTTCTTCACGTTGTGGTGACCCTCAACCATAAAATTATTTTCGCTGCTACTTCATAACTGTAATTTTGCTACTGTTGTGAATTGTAATATAAATATCTGATATGCAGGAGACTCCCAAAGGTGTCATGACTCACAGGTTGAGAACTGCTGGTCTATGGGGAATTCTATCAAGAAGGAGCAGGGGGTGTTGGGGCTTGACCCTGCCCATACCCTCTCCCCCACCTCCCACACTATCTTCAGGCTACAGGGAAGTGGGGGGAGCCCAGACCAGTGATGTCCTCTACCCTTTTACCTTCTGCCCTGCTTGGGGTCTTTGGGTGTTTTGTGCTGCCACCACCATTCTTGGCAGATTGTTCTCCCTTACCTGGCTTGTAACCAAGAGAAATTTTTTTCCTTTGGTTTACCTGAGACAAAAGGATCTTTTCAAAAGGACTTTACTGGGAAACTTAGGGGAAGCAAAAGAATAAACAGAGAAACTGTCGATGTACATAGATCCACATGTATCCAGAGTCCCATCCTAATCCTGAGTTACCAGACTCCAGGCTTTCTGGATACTGAGCTATGTTTTACTTCCTTTCTTTGACCTGTAACCCCAGGCTGGTCCTACTCTTAGGTCAGAGGGATTTTGGCATCCATGTGCAGATAACTACATGAATCTGCAATTCCAGCTTTTAACACATAGTTATCATATGGTTCTTTACTCTATTTTTCCCTGGCTCCCCTTAATCCTACCCACTTCAGTTTTTTGATTTCCTTAAAACCTGCATGTATGCTTGTACAAATTGAGTATCAGTGTATATGTCTCTATGCTTTTTTTTTTTTTTTTGAGACAGAGTCTCATTATGTCACTCTTGGTAGAGTGCTGTGCCATCACAGCTCACAGCTACCTCAAACTCCTGGGCTTAAGTGATTCTCTTGCCTCAGCCTCTCAAATAGCTGGGACCACAGGTGCCTGCCACAGTGCCCGGCTATTTTTTGTTTCAGTTGTCGTTGTTGTTTAGCTGGCCCGGGCTGGGTTCGAACCTGCCAGCCTTGGTATATGTGGCTGACGCACTGGCTCCAAGACTGTCTCTGTGCTTTTAAAGTAAACTGACTTTTTTTTCTTGTTTCCTCCTTAACCCTCTTTGAGATTCATCCATGTTGTCTATACATTCAGTTTGTCACATCTTTTCTTTTCATAGCAGTTCAGAGAGTGCTCCCAACATTCTATCCAGTATTTGGGTTATAGTCATCATACTTTTTTCCATCTTGATGGAATAATATAGTATCTTGTTAATATTTTAATTTGCATTTCTCTCATTGCTAGCCAATAACTATTTTGTGTATTTTTTAGCCTTTCAGGCCTTTTGTGAATTTGCTGTTCATTTCCTTTGCCCATTTTCCTGTATGGTTCTTGTCTTATTTCCTTTTTGATAGAAAACCTGGTGAATCTTTGTATGTTCTAGATATAAACTCCTTACTGGTTTTATTTATTTATTTATTGACTTTTGAAACAGAGTCTCACTTTGTCGCCCTCGATAGAGTGCCTGGGCTCAACCTCAAACTCCTGGGCTCAAGTGATTCCTCTGCCTTAGCTTCCCAAGCAAGTGGCGACCACAGGCCCCTGCCACAATGCCCAGCCATTTTTAGAGACAGGGTTTCTGGCTCAGGCTGGCCTCAAGCCCCTCAGCTCAAGCAGTCTATTCACCTCCTCCTCCCTGAGTGCCAGGGTCACAGACATGAGCCACTGTGCCCCCTTGCTGGTTTTAGGTGCTACATATATTCCCCCCACTCCTATCTGATGTCCCTTAATACTGCCTGTGCTATCATGGCTGAATAGAAATCTGTTGTTTTGGTGTACTTGGATCTGTTAATTTTTTACCTTATAAAGTGGGATTTGGGATTCTTATTAAAGAAGTCTTCTCCTGCCTACGTGTGATGACTTATTCCTATAATCCCAGTGCTTTGAGAGGCCCAGGCAGGAGGATTGCTTGAGGCCAGGAGTTTGAGACCAGGCCTGAGCAACATAGTGAAACCCAATTTCTACAAAAAATTTTAAAAAATTAGATGTACATGGTGGCATGTGCTTGTAGCCCTAGCTACTCAGGAGAGGAAGACTGGAGGATACCTTGAACTCAGGAGTTTGAGGCTACAGTGAGCTATGACTGCACCACTGCACTCCAGCCAGGGCAACAGAGTGAAACCCCTCTCAAAAAAAAAAAAAAAAAAAAAACCCAAAAAACTAAGACTTCTTAGGGTTTGATGGAATGCTTAATCTTTTCTATAGCATAGTTCCTGTTTGTCTTGCCAGGACTGACACTAGATTTGTCCTCTTTGTGTCCTTGGGCTGGCTCACTCATCTGTGTCTGTTTCCCTTTCCTGGTGGGAAGGGCCCTGTCCTGGGTCTGTCTTGCTCTGGGGAGAGCGCAAAGCCTGACCTCACTTGGGCTGCTGGAGGGCTGGAGGGCTGGATCCAGGGGCTGGGAGGAGAGAAGTGGGCATGGGTCTGGATTGTTCCTGTCTTGTAGGCTCGTGGTGGCAGTGGAGGAGGCCTTCACTCACATTAAACGGCTGCAGGAAGAGGAGCAGAAGAATCCCAGAGAGGTGATGGACCCCCGGGAGGCTGCCCAGGCCATCTTCGCATCCATGGCCCGTGCCATGCAGAAGTATCTTCGGACCACAAAGCAGCAGCCTTACCATACCATGGAGAGCATCTTGCAGCACCTTGAATTCTGTATCACACACGACATGACACCCAAGGTGGGCCATTCTGCCCCCATCAGCCTTCTTCTTTTCCCAGATTCTCTTCTTGTCCACTTTCATTTCCCCTTAGTCTCTCACTTCTTTCCTCACTTGCCACCCCTGTCCTTCTCCCTTCTATACGTCCTCCTTAGAATCTCTTCTCTTATCCCTATCCCATCCACCCTGTCTGCATGGGGCAAAGTTCTCTGGTGGATGAGGGGAAGGGGGCCTTTGAAATCATTTAGGGGATAGCTGTGACCTATTTCTTATTTCTGTGAGGCCCTGGGATTTCTAGATACACCCCCCTCTTCCCTTCCTCTCCCCTGGATGGTCTACGCTCATTTTGAGCCATTTGAACCACTGCTCTGTTCTGTTACCAGCTTCCCAGAATGCTTTCCCTGAGCTCCCCTGGGTGGATACGTAGTTAAAGGTGTTGCATTTAAACCTTGACATCTCTGGCTCTCCCCTGGTCAGTATGAATCATATGAGCTGTGTGGGAAGGAAGGAAGAATGAGGGAGGGCTTGCCTGGGGCCTGGCCATGTACAGGGAGAGAGCAGAAGAGTGGGTGCGGGGAGCCAGGCTCCAGGCCCATCTCTGAGGAACTACTTCACTTTGGAGGGTTCTGTAGCAGCTGATCTCAGGCTCCTTCCAGCTCTAACACAGCATGATTATAGCTGATATGCATACAGGGAACTCAGGGATGTCTTGGTTGTTTATGGAAGCCATGCCCCATGGGACAAAGATAGTGGGTGGGTGAGAGAGATTCCTACATAGCCCCTCCGTCCTCCCCAGGCTTTCCTGGAGCGTTACCTGGCAGCTGGACCCACCATTCAGTATCACAAGGAACGCTGGCTGGCCAAACAGTGGACACTGGTGAGCGAGGAACCAGTGACCAATGGGCTCAAGGATGGCATCGTTTTCCTCTTAAAACGCCAGGACTTCAGCCTGGTGGTCAGCACCAAGAAGGTCCCATTCTTCAAACTCTCCGAGGAATTTGTGGATCCCAAGTCGCACAAGTTTGTCATGAGGCTGCAGTCTGAGACCTCAGTGTGACTGTGCAACAGCAGGGGGAGTGGGAGACCCTGGGGGCTCCCAAGGGGGCAGGAGGGGCACAGTTCTCAGGCCCAGCCGTATTCCTGCCACTCTTCTTCCTCCTGCTCTTGTTTTTTTTTTTTTTTTTTTACTTGAATTAACTTACTCCCACCCTCACCCTGTCTCCTCCCTCTTACTGTTTTATCCCATGTGAACCTGGAGAGACTATCCTGCTGTCAACAGTACCTGGGACCCCCTCCCCATTTTCTGTGTCATTCTGGGCCCTGCAGGGATCTGTCCTGTCTCCCTTTCCTTCCACTTGCCTATCCTGGATGGCAGTCTTTTCTGGAAGGGCACAGGGCCCTGCTGCTTATATCTTCCCCTTGGGCCCCCACTCACAAACCCTAGTTCTTGTAGCAGGTTTCTCCCAGGCGCCTGACAGGGTTTCTCTGGGGGCACAGATGTGACTCCAGATAGCACAGTGCCAAACCCCTCCGGGGCAGCAGTTGCTCCTCTGCTTCTCCCTCCAACAGAACAAACCCTGAGTTCTGGGGCAAGGATCACTCCTGCTGTGTGGCTGAGTTAGGCATCTCAGAATCTCCTTGCCAGGGTTGTTTGCTTCCGGCTGGTAGAGCCTCCCTCCCCCAGCCACACATATTTAGAGCAAGGGAAGATCCTGTCCTTTTTCCAGAAGTCTCCACCTTCCTTCTGAGTTGTAGGGTCACATGACCACGGGAAGACTGAGGTGGAAAGATTCATAACTACCTTTCCTGGGCCTTAGGGGAAGGTACCTTTATTCCAGTGTGTCTTTCTGAGGCAGCCCCTGAAGGAAAGGGCAGAATAGATCACTTGAGGTTTTGGAGATACCTGTCACTGATCCCTGCCATCTGATCTACCCACCCCTTTGTTTCTGCCCTCCCAAGTGAAGGATGGCATGCAGACTCCTGTGCAGACTTAGAAGCTTGTAGACCCTGACCCAGCCCCTGTGCTCTTAGACAAGTGTTTTCTTCCTTCACCAGCCACCCCATTCTGCTGTTTTCTCTTGACTCCAGAGACCTGTTGCCTCATCTCTTGGGGAAGAGCCAGCAGCTCCTCCTCACCCCCTGCCTTAAGTCCAGTTCTTTGCCTCAGGGGTCTCTTTTCCTTGGACTTCCAGTGTCCCCTCCTCTTCTCTCCCTGCCTGATTCTCTGGGCTCTGGGCTCCCTCTGTACTGGGGTGAGTGACCAGGATAACTGCCTTTTGTGGGTACTTAGCTTCTCACTCTATTTTAGCTTCCATAGTCTTTGCACCAAATTTAAAATCTTGATAATTTAGATCTCATTTTCAGCAAAATTTGGTGGCCCTCTAATACATTTCAGTGTAAATCTGAGCCTTTAAATTAGACACCTTTAATTATGCCAAGGAGGCTAGAGATAGGAAGCACATGCCCTAGGCCAGTCCTCTAAATAACTCGGTGTCCTTTATTGGTCTTCTTTCCCCTGGAAAACTCATTGGTACTTGCCTTGCAGAGCAGAGCACATCCTGGGATAAGGTCCCATGCTCTCCCTCTGGGAAGCCTCTTCTCTGTGTAGTGACAGCCCTTTCTTCTGCTGTCCTTTCAGAAAAGGCACACCAGTCCCCCCACCCCCATTTGCTAGAGAGGGACTCATCAGCCAGTGCTCACTTTGTCCCCATGAGGGGCAAGCTGGGGGTTTTGGGATAAGCTTATGTGAAATACGTCCTGTCCTGGGAGTCTGGGAAGGTATCTTTTCTTCTCTTCAAAAACCTGGTTTCAGAGGAGTCCCTTCTGGGTCACATAAATACCTCACTATCCTGGATGGTGATTGGGTCATTGCCTTTGGGGGCAGGATGGGGTGTGGTGTTCAGGTTTGAGGAGCAGGTTGGGATGGGAAGAGGGAAAGTATTTGAGATCTCAGTTGCTACCCTAGATGAGGGGCTGGGGGAATGTTTATTTTAAGAACCTGCCATGTTTTTAATCACTGTGATTTTTTCATTACCTTTTCCTAAAATGAAAAAGAATCTCCTCCCTCCCCCAAGTCTCTAAGCACTAAGGGCTGTGACTGAGAATGGTAGCATTTTGGTCCTTTGCATTAGAACTGTGGTATCTTTGTCTTTAATTATTATTATTTTTGTTTTTGAAATGTCAGGATGGATTGTCAAACGTATGGCTGTGTGTCTGTCTTTGCTTCTCCTCCATGAGAAGTTGTCTCCATGCTGTGAACTGCTGTGGGCCTGCAGCTGACTCGGTCGCTCCGAGCAGTATCCCCACTCTGCCTGCCCGCCCATGCGGGCTCCGCCCAATCTCCCGCTACAGGGTGTGCCCACCTGTTGGCCCCCCCAACCCCATCACCATAGGGGTGCCGTGGCTGGGCCTCTCCAGTGCTCTTTTCTGTCACTCATGGCCTCCTGGCTCATGCCCACTGTGCCTACTAGGCTTCCCTTTTCATCACCTTGAATGCTTCCGCCTTCCCGCCACATCAGGACACTGTGCCTCAGTCCTTCACCTACCTCGCCACTTTGCCGCTATTCCCACTGGTCCCTTTCTCCTAAATGAGTCTTTGTGCTCTCTCTGTTTATTCTTATTTCCCTCTAGTCTCTCATTTTTTCTTCCCATCCCACTCCATCTTGGCCCTTAATCTTTCACTTCCCCAACCTGCTCAGCGTTCTCCTTGCAACCCTGATGCACCTGTGATGAGACATTGGGGTCCCTGGAACGTCTCATCTGCAACATCTAGTTCCCAGGGTTTGCTCTTCTTTCTGCCTCTGTTAGGCCCAGACAAGCTCTGTTGTCCCTTTGTGGTGTCTGTCTGTCTTCTCTTTCCTCTGCCCTTCCCATGGGCAGTATCTGCTGATGGACTCAGTCCTGGTGTGTGATTGTCGTGACTTGTTCTGTGCGCAAAAGGAAGGGAGCTTTCTGGGTCCCTTCTGAGTGAGATTGTAAATGTAAACTCTTCCACTGTTGGATCTAGATTTTTTTTTTCTTTTTTTGGGGGGGGGTTTACAGAGCTGAGACCTTGTGCATGCCTGTAGAAAATTGTAAAATGTAAATTTTTTTTTAATATATAAAAAGCTTGTTTTTACAGTTTGCAGTGGATCTAAACATTATGGCAATTTTAGGGATTTTTTTTCTTAAACATAGGAACTAAAACTGTACAAATTTTTTTTATATAAAATAAAGACATTTGACTTTTGTGGGGGCATTCCATTGGTTTTTTTAAAACAGGAATGGGAACAATAGCGGGTTCAGGGAAGAGTGATTATGCTCCTTGCTAGGGGTGAAGGGGCCAGGAGGGGGCAGTGTGAGCTCTCCAGCTGCTCTGTAGGTCCTCAGGACTGTGTTGACCTTGCTTACTCTGCACCCTGATTCTGAGGAGAGAGGAAAGTAAGAATGAGAGTTCTCAGCTGCTTCTTGGGTGGGGGAGAGGTTATCAGAATGAGCAGAGAAAGGAAGATCACTTTTTGGATCCATCCTGTGAAGCAAGCTTGTGTCTGTGTGGCTTTTAGGTAAGGGGTAAGAGTAGATTTTTCAACATCTTTCTAAAACAGAAGTTGCCAGAGACATTTGAGGGAATAGTTGAGATTTCAGTCAATAGTGACAGCTCTTAACGTTTCACCGAGAAAAACCCCGGAAGCCTCCCTCAGTTCTTAGTATCTAGAGGGACATTGTTTAGTTGCAGTGCTTGTAATCAGGCAGGAGAATCACCATCAAGAGATTAAGCCCTCTACCAGCCTTACCCAGGCCTGACTTTCTGCGTGATTTTGGGCAGGACACTTAAGCGTAGAAACAGCTTTCTAAGGTTAAAACCAAACAAACTTCCCTGTGTGGAGGTGCCCCGTTTGCTAACTGGATTTGCTCCTCTTCTTCCCTGCCTCATGCTTTGCCAGGCTCTGGGATACAGAGACAAGAGGGATCTGGTTCTTATCTTGGAGGATAACTCAATCTACAAGAGGCGACAGAGCAGGGGACTTAGTCGAAGGCTGCATGGCACTCTCTCCATATCCCTGGTTGGATTCTAAGGAGCTCAGGCAATCTTTCCTTCAGGAAATTTGGGGAGTTTGTGTAAGATTCAAGAGATGGTAACACAATGTCCTTGAACTTAGGTTTTGTTCACCTACGTATTCCTAGACTATGTACTAGTTCCTTTTATATAGTTGGCACTCTATAAAAAATTGCTGAACAGCTAATGCAATAAAAAAGCTAACAGTACTACAGGGGCATACAAAAGGGATCATTTACCTGCTGCTTCTCTCTTTAAAATTTTGCTCAAGTCTTTCTCATGTGAAAACAAACAAAAACACTTCCCTTGAAACTGCCCCCCCCTTCCCCTTCTCACGGCCCTGTTTCTTTTGTAAATAGGCTTGTAGAAGAAGAGTTTCACTCGCTGTTTTCTGTTCACCTCAGAGTCTACTTTTGACTTACTGTGACCAGATTTCTACCCTAGATGCCTCTGAAATTATTCTTTCTCTTAATGACCAAGTCTAATAAGCACCTTTTAGTTGAGTAGGTATCAGTGCTTACGATGTTCCGGCCTGGTGCTGAAGTGCTTTGGCTGGTGCAGGCACTGGATGTCAGTGCTGCCCTCACTGTGATAGCCTCTGAAGACCCTCCAGGAGCCTGCTTGACCTCATGGACCTCCTCCCCTGCCATTAGTCCCAGGAATTAACAGATTTAAGATCAAATCTCAATATTGGATCAGTAGCATCATATTTTCTCTAGAGCTTTGCTGAAAGCAAAAATGATCATTCCAACAATTTGTCATGTAGCAAAGGGTATTTGTAACTTAGCTGAAACGATGTGTTTTCCCTGGAAGTACTTCATATATCACTGAAGCTCGGGACTCAGCTCGGTGGATTGTTAGGATCGTTCCTGGGACTTGTTAGCGTGTGTGATTACGTGATGTATGTGACCACGTATGTGCTGCTGCATGTGATTTTCTAGCCTTTGCCTTTGGAATGCAGCCAGGAGGTGGAACTGGCGGCTGAGGTTCTGGATGAAGAGACATAGGGATTGTTAGACTCAGTTCTTAGTTATTCGGTATTGGTTTTTTGTTGTCGTTTGGGGCAGTTTGATGATTTCTACAGAACTGAAAGTCGACTGTTTAAAATAGCCACTGGCTGCTTATTTGTGAGTTTAAGCATGGAATAGAAATACTCTTCCAATTGCTGGAAAGCCTGGGGGTGGGCGAAAGCCAGCTTTGGGAAAACCATTACAGTCTTAGTGTATATGTGGTCATGGAAGATACTAGGAAGT